GAAGAATATCACCTCCCATCTCCAAAAACAACACTGCTTAGCTAGGATGCTTTTCTTTTTCAAAGGAGTGAGTGTGGGAGAAGGAACACTGAAGTAGAAATCAGGGGCCCCGCTGTGTAACTAACTTGCCATGTGACAAGCATGCAACTTCATCTTTCTTATCCTCAGTCTCCTATAACCACAAATGGACCAGATGACATCTGAGAGCTGTTTTAGCTTATTTCTATGTCTGATGAATATCAATTTAAAGTAAATTTAGAGAGAGGTCATTCTCAGTCACAGTTATTACTTCTCGGGTCAAGTGTAGAACATCTAACCACAGAGAGGTCTGGTTTTGGTACAAGTGAGCCAAACCACTCAGACTCCCTACAATTAAATGAGGAGTAAAGGTCAAGAACGTAACTGGAGTTACACATCCAAGCTCAAGTCCCAGCTCCACTTTTAACTACCTATGTGACTTTGAGCAAATGCTTTTATCTCCCTAGGCATTTCCTCAACTGTGAAATGTGGATACTGAGATCATATAAAGAGCTTAGCATAATAAGTGCTCCATAAGTATTAGCTATAATTATTTTTCCTGTAATATATTGTATATTTCAAGTAAAGAGTTAATTCCTGTAGATGATCTGACTACAGTATTAATGATACTAGATACGGATGCCTTTACAGCTGAAGTTGTAAGATCTTTGAGGGCAGGCCATTAAGTTTCATTTTATCAGACAGTCTCAGCCCTACCCAGCACACACAACAAGTATGTGATATGAGGTTAGAATTATGTCATTGAAGAGCTGGCTGAGATCTTGAAGCTCTATCTAGACCATTCCTTCAGAGCCCCAGAGAAACTAAAGACATTTCCCCAAGATCACTGAGCAAGTCACAGTCAAGGCTCCAACTTAAGTCTCTCGACCCCTAGGCCAGTGCTCCATCCACATCTCTACACTGCCTCTTACCATACTAATTTATTTAAAATAGGTCCAAGAAAATATCTCATTTACGGAATGAGTCTAGAGCAATGCCTAACATTTGACAGGATCTCAGTGAATACGCAGTGAGTGGGTGGATAAATGAATCAAAGGATAAGTGAATAAATGAATGAATGAATGAGCAGTTTTATTTCAAAGAACCCCTGTGTGTTCAAAGTAGCTTTGAAGTTGCAAAGGCATGAATTTGTGTCACTATGTCCTGGTTTTTCACATGCAGCGGAAAACATTAATCCAACCAAGATTTTCTTTCCCACTAAGCCCAGAGCTGCTAGAAGCTAACATTATTAATTGGACTTAATTAAGCATTTGCAATGAAGCCAATTCCCTCCCTTGTTTATGAAGCAACACCAAGGGGAGGATGGAGGGCAGTGGAGCCCCCGTACTCTCCATCAGTGCCGGAGTCAAACTTGAATATATAATCCGACTTACAATTACATCACTGTGCACGCAAATCTCCAGCCCTTTTTTCCAACCACATTACCTCGTGAAGCCCCTCCAACCCTGAAGGCTCAGGGTGTCCAAAGTGCCTTTATTTCTCCCTTCTTACAGTTCCAAACTGCCTTCAAGCTTCTGCCTACAACCAAGGTGCCACGTGTGTTCAACACTCTTACGCTCACCAGGTATGCAAGTTATCATTTTTTAAAGTTTGCAAAATAAGGCTCATTAAAAGAATCATCTTACCCCTGTGTTAATAACTTTGGAAGCATCAAAAACTTCACTGAGGAGAAGATTCAGTGGAACATTCCAGAGTACCAACTTCTAATTTTGTTTGGTTCTGGAATACGTGTTTGACAACTTTGAAACACACACTTAACACTCAGACCACTGGAGCCAATCTGAAACACGGCATTTGAATTCCTCCCCTCTGTTGAGTCACCCACGCTCCCTGAGATAAATATAATCATGAGACTTCTCTGAATGCCCTATCCTCTCAATCTTACAGAAAATTCTTGCAAACATCTCACTGGCTGGCACAGACTGGCACTTGTTAGGGACTAAAGGACTCAAACTCATCAGAACCTCTCAGATCAAGCCACACAATGGAGAGGAAAGGACTGTATATACAATAAAGTCTCAGATAAGTGCCTCACAATCCTATTTTGCATTAATGTCCCCACCCTACTCCTAGTCATTAAATAAGCCGCTTTGGGGGCTCTGTAGCAGAAAGAACCAGGTGTCCCAGATCCTAGCTGGGCGATGGGCATGTTACACCGACTCTCTGAGGCGGGCTTCCCCACCTGCACCAGGCCCTGGTCCCGATCAGCATTCCTAAGATGACTCCATGAAACTTCAGTCTCAGAACGCCGTGGCCAAATGACTTTGAAATTGCTGCACTTTCTGTCCACAGTTGGGTGTGGCCCCGACACAAAGGCATCTGCGAGACTCTATTAAACCCAGAGGCTCCTACTCTTAAGGGACACCGACTGACCTATGATGGCACTAGTGTTGTCAGAACTCACTGCAGAGGGAACGTCAGACTGGGAGCTCCGTAGGGCCATCGTGATCTGCTCTGGGGATAAGCCAGGCCCAGGGGACAGGCCCCTATGTTACTCTCAACCCTATATCAATCAAAACGGCTCTACATTATCTATCTTGACATTCAACATTTTATTTGGAAAAAAAAAAAAGGCTTCCATTTGCTAAAAGTAACTAACACTTTGAAAACCACTGGGAGGATGGTAATAGCATAAGGCTTTGATTCTTCATCGAATAAAACGGAATAATATCTGCTCCTCATTTTTCTTACCACCAAAATGAAGATAAATATAATAGCAAACCAGCTTTACATGAGAACTTTAAATGAAGTAATGCTAGAGTACCTAGAACTGTGCCTGGCACACAGCAAGCATCCTTAAGTGTTGGTATCTTTACTATAACCCCTGTTAGGAGCTCAGCCTCCTAGCACACGGCTTGTCAATGAGGAAGCGACAAAGTGCTTCCTCTATAAAAGACAAGATGCCCTGACAACAATGACTGCTGCCCTTTCTGTAAGCTCCTACTCTATGCAGGTTCCAGGCCAAGAGTTTGATATACATCATCTCACCTAATCCTTGAAAAAAAAAAAAAACCACCATGAGGTAGGTATCATCATTATCCGCATCTCACAGAAATGAACCAAGGCCCAGAAAGGTGCTCCGTGAGAACAGAGGTCCTGATTGATTAGCAAGGTCTGCCTTGGGCAGGGCATCCCAAAGGTGCTCCATGAGAAAAGAGGGTCCTGCAAGATAAGTGACGTCTGTTATGGGCACCGCAGGATGGGAGCAGCGGACATGCCCACGATCACAGACAGCACGTGGTCAGAGCCAGGACTCAGATCCAGTCTTGAGGGACCCCAAGCCTGTATGCTGCTATCGACATGCATCTCTTCCACTCACCAAGATTTTAAGCTTCTTGAGGATTATCAGCCTCCATATCACTGACTGCAGTACCGAGGCAGCCAGCAGATGCCAACAAACATCAATTCCTCTTAGAATAAAACAGCAAATTCCACGTGTTAAGGCTTGCTTTGTGCTTATCAGAATGTCAGCTCCATGAAGGCAGAATTTTTTTCCCATTTTGTTCACCACTGTCACCCCAACACCTATAACAGTGCTTGGCACATAGTAGGTATTTAATAAATACTTGCTAAATGAATGAATGAATGAGACAGGTGTCACCTGAGCAATCACATGCATCCTATGACTGCATCATCATAACCACACCCCTTAAGGCAGGTACACTTATACCCATTTTACAGATGGGAAAACTGTAGCTCAGGTAATTTTTTTTTCTGAGAATTTGGCTTTCTTTTCAAGGTCTCGCAGCCAGTTAATGGACAGCCAGGATTTAAAACCAACTCAGTCAACTCTGAATCCCATACTCTTAACCAGAAAAACTCTTAAAACTAGCCCATGGACTAAGTCGTTTTCAAAGCCCGACTCACCTGCAGATGGGAATGGCAGGCACGAGCTGCTTGGGCCAAGTGGGCGGCACCAGTAGGATGGACTCGGGGGCTGAGTTCCTCCTCTCCTCCTGCTCGCAGGGCCCCAGGAACTCCACCGCTGGGTAGATGTGCCGGGGCAGGCCAGCCTTGGAGGGGGCGGCCGACACCGGCGATGGGTCGGGGCTGGTCTTCCACATCTTGGGGGGGATCCCACAGGGCGAGTCAGTGGAGAGGCTGTTCAGGGCAT